ATCCCAAATAGTTTACTTCCTTGATTAAATATATCAATCAACTTACTCACTAAGGTGGATTAGTAACCCCGAAATACAGTCCAAGTATGATAAATATTTGAAACCAATTAAAACGACTTTATGGAATACAATAGTGATTTCAAGAGGCGATATTCACGACGTCAACACTCGATCCCAATCTTAGTTTAATAGAAGCCTTTACTGAAAAAAAGTATTTACATTGGTTCTTCCTTCATTGGCAGTTTAGCAGTAGAGAACACTGCCTCTGTGCTACGAAGAAATCCCAAAAATATTAGGTCTCTTTCCTGTAAACACCTCATATTAGTACAATGGGTGCGATGTGTACAACTTTCTTAACGCTTTCGCCTTAAACGTCACATATATGTGACAGGTGTTATTTATTAGAATATGATAATTGCAGTTGCACCAAATCCTGTCACAAAGGGGTCGCTTGAGCCAAAAGCGCTATTGTAGGTAGAGAAAATCCTTGAAATCAGAACACTAACTCCACTTTTTAATTTTAGAGTAGCGATTCAAAGTTGGTGGTACATTAGAACAATAAAACATTTGCTCTGCAGCAGCCAATGTACCTCTGGCGGGAAGTGTGATAAGTAGTAAGAGCCTCAGATTTGGAATAAACATGACATTTTAGTTTGACAGCTTTTCATTGGTCAGCCGTGTCTAAGGTTGCAATAATACAATTGTATGTGGAGATGTAAAAACACTCATTTAAATCCCCTTAAGCGCAGCAACGCATTCAGACGTTTTAATCATAAGAAAAATGGTTACTCCACATGATTTTCTTCCTAAGGGATGCTTTGTGTACTCGGTGCCCTTCCCTCGGCAATTCTCTATCGCTTCTTTACTATTTTTAACCTGTACTGGAGGAGGTCGGTGACTCACCCATTCCTGTTGGAGTTGTTTAAAAAGTCACTTATTTTTCCAAAAAAAACTTCTTTATTCACATTTATCCGATGGCCTGTTGTTGTTTTGTCAAATTCGAAAAGACAGATTCCACTTTCCAATCAGTCAAGAAGAAGGGTTTCGGCCAAACTAGCGGCATGTTCAAATTGTAAAACATTTGTCTATGAAATCATTCCCTATAACGTTTTCACTTTAACTACAATCAACTGACGTGCACAGCCGTGTTTAAACCTCTCTTAATTGAACATTTACAGACGAAAATGATCCCCGCTCACTCAGGTTCAAGGTAGTTACCTTCCGAAAGCTAAATTGCTAACAAAAGGATATGTAGGCGTCAATTATCCTCGAAACAAACATTTACATAAACGATGGATATATTTTGCAAGAATTTCGGAGTTATGAATGGAGAAATTTTATCCAAAAAGTATGCTATCATAAGCACATGCTCTTGTGGTTGGTAAATTCATCAGTGTGAAATCGCCCGACTTGATAAGAGGTGGGACATCGAGACGAACCGTATTTACAGATAGATCTAAAAAAAACTTCCTAATTTAAAAACTTAGAATAGGGCAAATTCTATACCCCAAATTTCCCTTTAGAGATAATTGAAGCAACTTAATTAAATGCGAACTGCTAAAATACGTGGTTTCTTCGTGCTCTTCGATTGGCCAACATGTATCTACAAATTTGCCTATTTTAATTGGCGGTCGAACGCTAAAGAGTTCTTCCACGGACTGCCTATACTCTGCTAATCAAATGGCGACAAATGTACCAGCATCAATAAACAAACAGTGCATGAAAACAACAATTGTTTCGGATCTAATTAACGCGACTGAGTTAGGTTGTTAAAAACTTCCTTTCGCATAGTTAACGTACGGAATAGCTTATTTTTGCAAAAAGAAAAACGAGCAAAGGACAAAATTCATACTAGGAAAGCGGTAGCGATATCTAATTGTTGCTTAAAGGTGTAACTTTGGTAAATTCAGACATGTTTTTAACAATTGATTAAATTCAAACAAGTTTGCAGCAATGAAGGATATTGTTATTGCAAATTCAACAAGAAGGACCAGTTCAGATGTTCCAACCACCTGACTAGCAATTCATTCAATTAATCATGTTTAAGGATGAAATTTTAACAAATCTACCATCCTACAGAAATTGTAAGAGAAGGCAGCTTGCCAATAATAGCCCGAAAAGGGACTGCAAAAAAATACTTGCTTATATCGTGCATTCGGTACTATGGCGGCCTTTCAGTTTCTCATGATACAGCTACTAGTCATCCGGCCCCCATTATTCCCCAAGCACAACATAAAGCCGCTTCAAACTAGTAGCCGCATAAGGATTTTATTGATAACTAGAAACTTACTTCAGTCGTGACAGTGGGTAAATCCATCGAACCTTCATCACTGTGAGTAACAGCTGTAGTACCCGGAGGAGCAGTAACAGAGGTCAATTCTGCTTGGAAGGGCATTCCAACCCGAGGCACCAAGAGGCTACGCGGGCCCTCTTCTAGCCACTCCTCCAGGTCCTCGTCATCCCTCGACTTACAATGTCGAAGATGACGACCACGGAGACTACGACTCCGTCCCCGACAATGCTGGCTGTGATGGTGAGGGTTGTGTTGGCGAAGATCTAAAGGGGATAGGATGGTGTGGGATGTGGAGGGAGTGACTGCGATGGGATGCTGTTCGTTGCTCGTCCCTCCTGTCTCATTATCATTCTCTTCGATCACAATTACGGACACCCTTCCATCGTCGTCTCCGTCCTCGTCTCCGGTGAGACGAATGTGCTGGCGACGGTGAAGGTAGTAACGGTGAGAGGAGGAACTCTCGCAGCGTTGAAAACACTCGACGGAGCTCAGATTTTGCTCACCGTCAAATCCACCTGTAGGATGAAAAAATTGTCGAATGACTTCATCAATGGAATTTGGCAGCACATAGATATCCGATTAAAAATACAAAGATTTTGCCGTATTCCTCAAACATTTTGTTTATTATCGCAAAACCATTTCAGATCATTTGTCTGATTGATTTACCGCTTTTAAATTGGTTTAAAGTAATTTCAAACAGATGGCAAATTCGACCCAAATACCCCATTTCCTTACCACAATTACCACTTGAATGCCAAATGATCCACGATAGATTCCGTCCCACACCTGGCCATTAATCAAGCAAAAAGAACTCACAAAGATTGCATAAGAAGCAGATATATTTCTGGCAGTGTTTGTAAAGCAAAACCACCTCAACCATGCTTTACGGGGCAACATCAAGTGGGTCGTTTTCTCACCGTGATTAGCAAGCAAATTTAGAACAGTTAGGAAAAAACGGAATAAACATAAAAGACTTGACATACCCACATGTTATCCATGAGTAAATGGTCAAATATTAAAGGAGAAAATCAATGGGATAACCAATGTACTTAGCAAAATCATCCATCACAAAGCGAATTCAAACGTCATCAGTAAAATTATTAGCTATTTTGAACTTTGAAGGCTTGAAATGAATTAATCATAAGCTTATGCTTGTGGAATGTGACTCATATCTGATTGGATTTCCCCATGCTTTTCAAGAAACAGTGGATGTTGACTGCACCGACCCCTCAGTAAGGTAAACCAATGGCAATTTAGCACAAAACATGAGTTTTCGATAAGAAAATTGATTGGCCCAAAATTAGTTAACCGAAGAAATGAGTAACGTGAAGCTCAATGTCCAACCCAGTAATGCTACTTTGCACCCAAGTACACACAAGCGGTGTGTATATTTTTGCGATGTCCCAGCAAAGATTATTCAACCATTCTTAAAGACGAGGTTTTCCGTTTTGTAGGACGAGGTCGCCAAAGTAAAGCAGTGGACACCACTGAATTTGTGCGTACATGCTTGTCACCGGAACAGATTTCATTACATATTGAAGTTGGCTTTAAGTAAAAGGTAATTTCCTAATGCGTATATATTGTGAAAGTGAGATAAGACAATAAATCCGCATCAACGACAAGATGGGGTAAGATTTAAGAAAATTAAAAAGCTTTTACCAGATTATCTGACGCGCCTTACTCCTTTTTTAATTTTCATTTAGCCAATCGGAATCTTATTCATATTTTACTTCAATGTATGATATTTACATATCTCGACTTCCTCTATGAAACCAAATACAGGCGGGCACCAAAAGGTAGTAAAAAGTGGAACAGAATATGGAGGTGGAATGTAGTACAGAGCGAAGGTCGAAGTTCTTTTGCCGAATTAAATTACATAGTTGATGCAAATGAACATTTGTTTTGGATCCGTAAATGAAAAGACCGACAATAGCTAAAACATTACACCTCCACCTCTTGAACAGAAATGAAAAAAATGATGGGAGCCAGAGGAGAGGAAGCAACGATTCGCAGTTATTTGCGCGTCATCCACATAAAAAGTGCAATTTTGCTGTCAAATCATCCCATTCTGTTCAGTGAATGAGGAACTAAAGCTTGCTCAATTCTGCTAGGTTGGTTAAAAACCATTCTCTCCCTATAGCTAAGGCGGCGGTCGAAAAAATGGCCCAATGATTGAACATGGAAGAGAAAAAACGTTTATTTGGGAGCAGGTGCTGAAAACTTCGTAAACAGCAACAGGATTGGCATTGGTGAATCACTGCTCTTGACAGAGGCGAAAAAGACGAAAGTAGAATAGTGAGAGAGGACGAATGGCAGTAGGGAAACAGTAAACAGGTTGTTTGCATGCATGAGGGACATGGGGGAATTCTTTCCTCCAATCTCCTCATATGGATGTGAGAGTTCAACGTGTGGCGATTTATTGCCTGATTGTGTCCAGCACAAATGTGATAGTTTAAACAGATGGAGATATGAAAACCAAGGTGAAAGACTTAATGTATTCAACGTTGGTCTATGTAAATACAGTAGTTGACCTAAAATCGGAGATATCTTCGGTTACGTTGAAAAAAAAACCATTAATATGAATCACCTTATATTACAAAATCGTGCTTTCTAATCATCAGTACCCTTTCATTCATACAGGAGCAACGTCTATCCAACCATTGGGCTGATCTTTAAATTTTGATGACTTTTCTCGACGAACGAAATAATGTAAACGTTTTGAGATGAGAGCATTTGCTATTTTTATTTCATGATTAATAACTACCGAGGTCTCAATTCAAAACCCTTACCTGTAATGAAGGCCATAACGAAACTTCTCAAACGACTGACCAACTCACTTTGCATTTATTTAAAACGATATCGCCAGCCAATTACTAAACTACTATTGAGATCCGATGGGAATATCGAAAAAGTGAAGTTAATAATAAAAAAATAATGGCATGTATTTTTCTTGAGGCCCTCAAAACTACTCGAAAAAGGCGGTAATCTGTGAAAGGCCCATAAACTGTAGGAATAATGGTTTAATACTGCTAACGAGAGCAGAAATGATTTCACTATTACAGGTGATGCCTGTGCATTTCTCAGAGGAAGAGAGAGTGGCATTGCTGACAACACCCCTCAAAATACGATTAATGGTTACCCCTTTCCCTGACATTAGCACCAGACGACCTCACGATAACACGGAAAATAAAATAGATAGTTGGGAAATAAAAGTAAGGCACATGGAAACACTGGCGGATTGTGGAATTTGTTGCAATTGTTTGTTTTATTGAGAAAGGTGTAATGATCTCGTATCGTAATTGAGACTGTTTGAACGAATAAGAGAGATGAAAGAGTTTTCTGCTCCTATTGAACTTTTATTTTAGAAGATGCATAAACATCTTTGGTCAACCTACGCCTTTCACCAGATACAATTTCAACTCAATGATAAATAAAAAAAAATTGTCAATGCCAAAACCAGGAGCTGACAATGTGAAGTGTTATTTGTATTCAATAACTTTTTTCTAACACAAGTCACTCTAATCTTCCGCAATCAGCGTTTATAAACCTGTATGAAAAGCTCGAGCAAACGTTGAACTCGAGTATCAACTGCTCGAGGGCACCACTCTTAAAGGAGGAAGAGATTAAAAGGGGTGAAAGTCCAGTGAAATGCCTGACAGCAATGCTAAGGAAAAGTGAGTCATTTGGAGCCTGAAGAAATAGCTTTAGAGGTACACAGATGAGGAGGATGAGGGTAAGGCTGAACTAGTATCACCCTTCATCCCTCCTTTTCCCCTTACCATCCTGACTTATGTGCAAATCTTATTACGGGAAGTTTCAAGCTACGAGATCTTGAACCATAATGCAAAACGAAGAATAGGACTATCATCCTAGTGGCTGAGTCACAAGCATTAGCTGTTTCGCAGGAAGTTGTTCTCGCACACCCTCGAGTTGTCGTGGATCTCGTAATTACTTGAGCTGAAACAGGGCCTTAGAAGGGTGAGGCGAGGTAATGATCGTGTCGTTAAGGAGGCCAGCCAATGGTATGTCCGTCTGCTTAAACAGCATTGAAATACAAAGGTTACTTCTCATCGCGAGTCAATAAGCGAACAATTCTTACAAAATGAAAAAAAAAATTTCATGACCATTGAAGCATAAAGCAATTGTTTGACCACTCACAGTCGAAGCCAAATCGAAACAATTTCTGATAGACTACTTGACGGTTATCGTGTCAAGAGTTACACGTCACTCTTCTACATAGGATTTTCAAAAGCATTCTTTAGTGGTACGTTTTGCTGCTAAATTCCGCATTTCAAACCTTCTCCAAATGCTGTGTGAAAAATTAAACGAAAAGCCTCTGTAGCTCTGAAACCAAAATGACAAGCTCGATTTAACCCATCAGGTTCAACTGGCATAGTGGGTTGAAAATAAAAGAATGTCAGAAAGCGCAATGAGTGTCGTACCCAATAGGCTGACTCATTTTTCCCTTTGTAATGCATACAAACTATTGTATTTAACAAGTCCTTACAGGCCTCAAGTCATTGCAGCGAGCACCACCAAAAACAACATGAACATTTTCTTATCACCCAATTGTGAATAAATAATGGAGCCAGAGTGAATGCAAAGAAAGTGGTTATATTCATCTCGAACACCACTAATAGTTGACTTCCTGAGCATGAGCAGCTGCATCTACGGAAGGGTATCGAGGCCACTTTTGGTTATCACCAAGACCTTGTGTTCTGTGCTGCGCTCAGTGACGACTGAAGCTAGGCCAAATCAAAACAATCTTAAGAGTGCTATGGACATATTCATAGAAATCACGGAATTGTGGAAAAACTATACTTCCTCACCTGTTTCCTGTATGTGAGTGCAACATAGTTCAACCGCAATGCATAATCAAGCTGGAGACAATGCAGTAAGGAGGGATGGATGTTGCACACAGCTACCGAGAGCTGCGCACTTATTCAAAAGTTCCAACGATTGGCGATTGGCATATGAAATGTGGTCGGTGTAGAACACTAACTAGCTAAATCACTGGATTCACACCACACATATCACGAAGGGGAAATAACTACGGATTCACCGGAATTCGTGGGATATTCTGCCGTTTTTGGAACCAAATTTATGCAGGATTAGTGGAAAAATCATCATATAACCTTTGTTCCTGCCCTGACTTCATCTTGAAATCATCCAGATTACCATGTCTTATAGATTGTTCAGGGTAAGATTTAGGTGTTACAAATTGGTTAAATGTTGAAAACCAAACTATTAGAAGTATTTTATTGTTTCTATTATACTAGACCGTCTACCCTTTTTTTACATAGATGACTCACCGATGGCATATAGCCGTCCACCAGAAGCCGCCAAAGCGACCCGTGACCTCGGGGTCGCTAAAGAAGCCACTTCAGTCCACTGACCCAATCCAGGCTCTCCGTTGCCGATACCGGTGGTTGTGATGGAAGCGGGATCGTATACCTCCACGGAACGCAAAAAATGGCATCCATTATAACCACCTGCAGCGAATATGCGTCCACGAAGGACGGCAACGCCGTGACGACAGCGACGATGAAGCATAGGAGCTACTTGGCACCAAACCCGACGACTGCCAGGGGTGAAAGGGGTGGCAGTGGGGGTGGAAATGGTGGAGGCAAGAGGCGTTTGGTGGCCGCGACGGTGGTAACACTCCACTGAGGCGAAGATTGGCAGACCGCTGTGACCTCCAATGGCGAAGAGACGGCCATCTTCAAGGGCTACCACACCACCAGCAGAACGACATTCTGTCATGCTGGGAATAACCTGCCACCTAGGAGATGCAAAACAAAGGAGTTACTAAAAACAATCTCCCCAGACATCTCTTACGTCCAAGTCTAGATTTTTAAGTATGGAAATGCCCACCATCTGAGCGAGTTAGGTGGTCCAAAAATAACGATCAAGTGTACAATCACCTACCTCTGGAAAGAGAATGAGATTGAAAAGAGGGTGATAGAAAGACTTTGTTGGATTTAATAAACCAAACAAGAAAATACTGCAGTCATGTGCTATTCCTTCTAGTGAGGAGTATCCACATCTACGGTAACTAGCATAACGCGATCAAAATTCCAGAAAAGATGCAATGAAAACTTCAATGATATAAAGACGAAAAGGCAGACCGAGAATGCATCTATTCTCCCCCTCTTTCTCCCTCGTAGAGTGGTCAATAAGTAAAATGCAATGTTTAAAACGGTTTTACTGGTGCAATAAAAGCAGGGGGCATTTTCACGACGGCCAAAATCCAGAAGGTGGTTTGTAAAAATGGACAGTTGCATCGGCCAATACCCTAGTTCCTGAAGGCCCTAGGCCCAGTGAAGTGACGGAGAAGCATAAACTCAAACGCCTAGATATATATTCCCAAAGCTTGAACGAGTCTTGTTAAAAATGTAGCCAATTCTTGCAGCGTTGCAAGATAAAATAACTATGCCTGCGCATACGTCTTTCTGAAAGTAAAGCTTCAACGGAGTAAAAACATCCTTTCTCGCAAATAGAAAGCTCTGCTTAAATGAAACATTTGACATGTGAAATTAAATGTTATCAGTTGAATAAATTTCATAGGCAAGGCTCAAAAGAAATGTAAAATATCTTTTTTTGGAGAAGATTAATGTCTACAAAGGAATGGTTTTTAAAAAAAACGATAATTTAGGTAAAAACATTCAACTCCCGTGCGCCGAACAGAAATACAGTATATTAATTCACCCATCCAGTGAGAGCTTTAAGTAGAAAGGCGATTTAAAGGGAAAAATTGAACTTTACTACAACTGCGTAAATTTGCTTTCCAATCAGAACTACCCGTGGCTTTTCAACTTAAAAAGTTTGCCATCAAGACAAGTACATTTCCACTACCAGGTTAACCACTTCAACTTCAACAAAAGTGTATTTATCTTCGCATCCCATCTATCATGAAATGATAGTGAAAATCAAATGTTCGTGGCCTGCGAGCTCGGAATGGAAAAAAAAGGATGTCACTTACATCTGATGATGGCGGTGAGCATGTTCATAATGTCGCTTCTAACTTTGCAACATCCCAATACACAGACGCTCGTTTTATTATTACGCTATATTACGCGGATTTTTAGTCGTCTGAAATTTAGGCGCCATGCCATCGATGCCTCTCAACTTAAAGACTCTCCTTACCCTCAAGGTGAAGCATTTTTGAGAAATTATTTATTTCAGCAAGTCTTTAGGACAAAAACGCTTTTAGTAACTAAAGTCATCTCAACAAGTTCACCATTTTTGGGGTTATGCACATACAATATGGTTTTTCATTGACCTTAATTGCAGATCTAGCCTTGTAGAGCCAGTAAAAAACAATGTACGTACTTCCGCCTTGTCCAGCTTTATAACCCATAGGCCTACATCGCACAAACTTTTGTACAGGAAGAGGAATTTACACTCAATATAAAGTAATAAAAACTTTTTAGATAACAAAGAGGTATGCTTGCAGAAAAATTGGCCAACCATACCGGCCTAGTATAATGTTTAGCCAAGAAAGAGAACCAAGGCGAGCATTTACATTAAAAAAATTGAAATGCTTTTTTAAAATTTCTGCCATGGTAGGCGCAGAACTGTTTCTACCTTTGGTTTGGAACCTACAATCTCCAGACACATTCACACAATTAATCACCATGCCCAAAAGGGGAAGAGAATGGCCAACCGTTACCGCAGCGAACAATAAGCGCACAGCATTAAAAAACGTGAAATAAAGTAAAACTTCACAAATTGTGAACCTGTACGTGTTATTTGGATTTCTTAAGATGAAGATGCAACATTTTCACCTTAAATATTTATCTAAAAATAAGAGTAAAGGGGCTTTTAGGGACCCCTGTTAGACTAGATACTAAACACAATACCTGATTTAAATTAATCAACAAAGTGATTCAATTAAACGATAAATGTTGGCATAAAAGTTTGGTTTTAACCAAGATTAGTTGTGGCGCTCATTTTCCCATTTCCAAAAAATTTAAACTGAGAATCTAGTAAATATTCGCAAGAGGTCGACATCATATAACTACGTTTGCTAGCAGCGTAAAATGCCCACGAAGCTTCGGCTTCCTCACCTGAGACCTTGCGTCACAAATGTGTGACGCGCCCTCTATCAACTTAGGATAACCGATTGAGCCAAATCGTGTTTAAAACAGATTTATCGAGTTCTAAAATGACAAAGTGAATGCAGAATGCCCTTAATTGAAAAATGCTTGCCCTATATTTGTAGTAGTGGTACTATATTCAAAGAGTAACAGAATTGGACTGTAGTACTCGATTTTCCCTCTGCACCTCAGCAACAAGCGCATTAAACGAATGAAATAGCTGAGGTATAACATGGCCTTTGTAGAGTGAGTGTAAGGCTTGATCATATATTCGCATACAAATTCCCCCATTGGTGTAGTTTTCATTCTCACACATTGAAGTTGGTCTTTAGAACACAATCTCCAAAAAATCATTAGAATATACAAAGCAGAGACAAAGTATAATCCATTAATTCATGAGTGACTTGAGATATGGCCACTTAAGCTGCACTTTATAGTTTTGCTTTTGTTTCGAGCCCTCTAAGCATAGTTGCCTGGAAGGTAAAAGTAGTCACAATGTATGCGACTGAATGATTTTTCTTTTGGTTGCATATTGCTACCATAGTCTTTCCATTTTGCCGTGTTTCAGTCTCTCAATACCTCGATTCATCTATAATGGACCCTTTAAGGAATAAATCAGCCTTCACAGTGGCCCTAAACGGGCGTGTTCAAAAGGATGCGCTCGCTAATTCAGAATACGTTCATGCACTCTGGATTAGTGAATTTGAGGGGATTTAAGAAACAGAAAAATCAACAATTCGAATTTCAGAAACGGACGAAAAATAGTGACCTAAATACTGGTAGTAAGCCGCGATAGAAGCTTACAAAATCAAGAAGTCAGTGAAATTTTGATGGCGTCGGCTCTCAACTTGGTGCTCAAGGAAATCGCTCGATTTTACGAGAAACAGCCCTACTGTACACCTCACTTAAAAACGAGGAGCGCTTAAGTTATAGCAGGGCTTGATTTTTCGGGAAAAATAGGGTTGCGATCGTGGAAGTGCTACATCAAGCCGTGAGTAGCAATTATTTCCTATTACTAACCCCCGTCGTGAATGTTTGAATTTTAACGTTGAGCATAACACGACAGCGCAATCATCCATGACCATAAGCATTTGTAGTTTGAAAATTTAACGTGTGTTGTGTGTCCATTTGGACTTGAATTCCCAACGTAGCGAACGCACAGGATTGATGAAGCGATAAAGATTATTTTTCTGATCAAAGACTTCAAGCAGATCCATTTTTTTACCACTTCTTTTAAATCGTCCAAAACCAACCGATTTTGCTCTGGATTGTAGACCTCACAAGTGCGAAGCGAAGAAATCCCGTCGTAGCCACCACAGACGTAAATTCGACCGTTGAGCACGGCGGCGCCGAGGGCGCTTCGTCGGTAGTTCATAGAGGCCACTCGCTGCCAGACACCCGTCTTTGGATCAAACTTCTCCACGGTGTTCAGACGTGAACTCCCATCCAGCCCACCGATAGCGTAGAGACAGCCTAGAGAAACGGATAGGATGGTAGAGATGAGTTCGTCCACCTTGACGCAATCATTATCAGTGCCACACGTGTGCAAAGCCCCGAATTTTTTCTGCAAGCCCAGTGGCTAAAATTTTGGAAGGAGCATACTGCAATGACCCTAGATGTTTGAAATAGCGATATCAACTATTTTTCTAGACTTGCAGCATGTTCAAAAACAAATCTTTAAGACGGATGGAGTGCTGTGGTAAGCCAGTTGTCCATTCAGTCTGATATAACATCTATCAACCTGGGACGGAGGTTATCGGAAAAATTACGCGAACTACACTAAATTGAAAAACTCTCTTACCATATGCTGAACTCTTTGGGTAAGCAATGCATCTGAAAGACATATTCTCTCTGGTAAATCCACCTAGGAGTGTTTTGAGAAGTCAAGTAACATGGCCGATTCGATAATTGGGCATTGCCTCAGACTTCCACCCAAATGCAGCTATAACTGCGAGGAATGAAAAAAGCACTCATGAAGAAACCCAAAAAGGAGATGGCGGAAAGCTGGATGTGAGTAATGGGTTTGTCTGGGTCTTTATTTATGTCATTAAAGCTTGTGCTAGGTGGGGACCTATGGAACGGGCAGATCATAAGTGCAAAAGCTCAGATGCTGACAAGCGACTGAACGTATTAACGGTCATCCCGAAAAACCCATATTCAGGACCATACCCAAAACCTACTGAATATAGCTCAACGAAATTCGAGGATGTGCAAGAAAAATGCTGCTTGGGAATCAAGCAGGATCCTTCAATCAAACTATGGGACGGAAGCTTCACTCTTACCACGAGAGATCTCATGTTGAATACTGTAAGTGACTCATGAGATTTCCACTACATTCAGGGAGGGGGCCAGGCACTGCTTCACATCCTCGGTGTTGCCCCCATGATACTTTTCCAAGTGATAGACGTCACCTTACCTTGGCATTTGGCAATCACATGATCACGCACGAAATAGACAGCTGGGAAATAAGTGGTAGAAACAAGATTGACCAAGGCCAGGATATTTCTCGGCTTCTAGAGGTCTAAACATTTGATAAGAGTGGGACTTACGGCAAGCAGGAGGTTATTTATTTTCCAAACATAAAAAAGCTTGAGAGAAGAAACCGTTGTTTTGCTCCTTTGACAATTATTCAGCCTGATTCTAGTCAATTCATTTCGGAGGGCATGGTATTTGTCTAAGTAATCATCAGGTATGCATCCGTCCGCAAAGCAAACACAAATTCAATGAGGTGCGGAACAAAAAGAAAATAATGCGATTTAGATGGGAAATTTGAACAAGATTATACATTTAAGGCACATGTTTGCATGTCACTTCTTTTAAAACTAAGAATGATTCTATGCAGAAAAGGTTGCACAAATGTTTCGAACATTAAAAAGAGGGTAAAACTTAGTTAAAACTGAAGCGGCCGGTCACCAATCAAGCAAAACGCCACAGAAAAACAAGATATTTCCAATACCACCATCACAGTAAAGAGTGCCAGATTACCCATAGATATTTACAGAGGTAATCAACTAATTCATTAAGTTGGGTTGTGAGAAAAAATATAGTGAAAATTCCGTTTTTTCATGAAGCTTCACAGAAGGGATCACTGAAACGAAAAATTACAAGTATAATTGTCTCCAAGCTATAGACCGCAAAGCTAGCTTTGGTGAGAGGAAGTAAGAGCTCGTGAAATAGTTAACAGAAAATCAATTCCTTTATACAAATGTCATGAAGGTCTAGATCATAACATTTCAACAAGGCGAAGACCTACCCTTCAATGCGACCACAGCAATGCGACTCCTTTCCGTGGACATGCTTTCCACTACCTCCCACCTATCCACCAATGGATTATACGCCTCCACGATGCTCTGGCAATCTCCCTCAGCAGAGTATCCCCCCACCGCGTAAATCACCCCAGCCACCTCCTGTCCGCGGCGCGGGCGACACACAAAAGAGCACGTGGAGGGAGAGAGAGAGTCAGGCATGAGAAGGAGATCGCGCGCCTCGTCCAACAAATCTCGGCACACCATGTCCGCTCGGACGTGAGGATTCTTGGAGACTACGTCACGAATGAACTGGGCGGAGAGGAGCGGCAATCGGACACGAGCGAGAAGGTCGGGGAGATACTTGAGCCTGGATGAGGATGGAGGTGGAGGAGCAGAAGATGCAGCGGAGAGCGAGAGGGACATGAGACCGTCAGCGATGGTGATGTCAGAGGTATTAATGATTTGGAGGGACTGAAGAGAGCGACTCAATTTGGGACTGTCAGTGCCGAAAGAGGGGGAGGGCTGGTGCTCACACCAAGCGATGATAGAGTGGAAGACGCGCTCCTCGTTGCTCACTTGCAAATCGTCACTCTCAAGGAGCTTACAAAACTCGGGCCCAGTAAGGGCAGCAAAGAAGGCGGGTAATGTGACGAGATGCTCAAAGTTCTCATGAATGATACGGTCGCAGGCGGAGATGAGATTTGAGCAGAGGAAGCTGGAGGCAAAACTGCGGACTTGTAACAGGTTCTCCAGGGTGAGCCTAAAAGTGGGTAACGAATCAGTCTGTCAAAGAGATCGAGGCACAAGGTACAAAGTAATGATACTTTAACATTTAACATTAACATTTAAAAAGCAAGATGGGTAGTGTGGAGTGTGAGGAAGCAAAGAAAACAGTTAGGAGGTATGAACTAAAACATCCAGAGTAGACTCAACCACAAAAAATAAAAACCTTATTCAGCCTGAATAGTCCTCCAAAGGTGCATTTAAAATGCCAAGAAGCAAGCGAATTATCCTAGACATTACAAAAAAACAAAATCCAGCGAACTTCTTGTATAAAATAAGTAAATACCCATAATTGGCATGTGTGTGCTAGATGTAATAAAAAGTTATGACCGAGGTCTTGATTATAATCCCCATTTTAAACTTCTGCGAATCACGACCATAAATGATTAAGTTTTGCAGAACTTACAGAGCAATTTTCACAGGAGACAAATGTAAAAATTGGGTGTTTTGAAAACAGCTCTTTTCAAAAGAGGAAACTAGACGCCTAAGTTGTATGTACGCTAATCAAACAAATGATTGTCCTCTCAAAAACGTGTACCTTTCCTCAATGTAACGACAGCAGAAATTCCGAACGCTGTCGATATTTAGGAAACTGGCCCCTATCAGAGTTGCCTGTACATTCCCTGGAGTAATTTGAATTTCTCCGGTATAAGCAAAAGTAATGAATGCTTCCAATACACTGAAAAAAGAGGTAAGAATTGAAAAACTCTACGGTGGGTCAATGCCTTTGATGGTAATTTCACGTTTTGTAGCTTCGCTCATTCCACTCAAAAACATAGCATCAAAGAAAGGAATCGTGGCCGCTAATACAATTTTATGGGCAGAGTACTTTTGTTGATCAACCTAAAAAACTGAAAAAAGACCGACAATCCTTACTATTAAAGTAACATCACAAAGTTTCCCTTTACGTCGGATCTGCTCGAAATTTGGAAAGGAATTACGAATAAGATTTTGGTCCTTGAAACGAATATTCGACCCAATTGAATCCTAAATCACAAGGTAAAAACCGCAAAATTGCTTACCTGTCTACGCAAACTCATAATTATGCCGAACGCCCCTATTAGCTGCTTCAGATTCTCTCAAAATAGACAGCCAATAAAGGGAGCATTTAAAAAGCGCCTAGCTCATTTAAAGTAGTTTAAAGAACTGCTAACTGGATTCCCACATTAGCATAATATGCTCCCACGCACAAACGACATTATTTGTCACTGCCAAGTTACCGCAGTGAAGGCGAAATTTCATTAAATAATTTGAAATAGTCGATCGCAACCACCCGCTCAAAATATTAACCTCTCCTAATTCACATTAATCTCTAAACGTAGAAAATTAATAAGTCAAATAGCCTTTAGAATGCGCCAAAGCTTAATAATTCATTAAATATGCACTATAGATAATAGAATACATGAATGGGATCCTGCTACATGGTACAAATCGTCTTGAATTTCAGAAGTAATTTGTCATCTCCTGCTGTAAAGGATACCGCAGTTACTGCATCACTATGCCCTCTTTAACGGTTGTTCAAGGTGCTTCGGGGGATGATTATTTATCGGGGACCCGTTACGACGTGTTCAAACATGTAGATCTGGAGTAGCTTCCATCGCTTATGCATTGCATGAAAATAAGCAAATTTAACTAAATTCAATTTTATTTTGGGCCGTTGCAGTGTCAGTATTTTCCCAACATTAGTGTGAAGTAGGATATAAACCTGCACGATCTCAATTAAATGTCAAGTTATAATTGCCTTCGATTCGTTCGTCATGGCAGCAACGCCTATTACCGCCATACGATTGGATAGGTAAATGTGTCACCTTTGAATCTAGTGGGAAATTAATTTCGAAGAGAAGCTGGCAGTTGAAGGTTGTTATGGTCCGTTTTAGATGCAAAACTGTTTTTAAAATCACCACTGTTCGTAGTTTGCAAAGGTTTGCGTAAATAGTCCTCATATTACCAGGCATTATGCCATGATTTCTTTGAAAGTAATATAAGCCATTGGGATTATAAATGGTGCAATTTTAATAAAATAAAATGCCTCAACAAGTGTATTTTTAGTTTTGTTTTTGATTAAAGAGGTGAGATAAGTTTGTGTGAGAAAATTTGATAAACTCTGTAAATGCCTTTACGCAGAACAGTTTTCAGCTTTTGTTCATCACAACTAGTCTCTTCTGAATCAGACTAAGCTTTGCAGTGAAGAGGTGTTAGAATCAAGTATGACTGTTGGAACACTTTGAATTGTTATGTACCGCGTAATTTGGCTTTTACTATCCGCACTTACTACTAATGTCACTAAATTAGTGGCGTCAACTGATACACTGAATTCGGAATTCCGTGGTGTAGAAAATATTAACATCTCAATAAAGTGAGAATTTAATTTATTTACTTATATATACAGCCTTAGCGCAGTCCTTCCATGACGCATTTTACGTCTCGGGGTCGTACAAATTCAACTCAACATTTTTCGAGCCCATTGTTCCCTTTTGATGATAAATGGTAACCTGCCTAAATTTAACAGTATTGCAAACAAGTCCGCTAATTACTTTTGAATCATCTAGGAGGGACGCAGGAGGTGAGAGAGCTTGATATTGTTCGTAAAACATTTAATTAGGCTTTACGCACACAGATCACTTAAAATTGAAGATGGTAAGCTCCACTGCTCTTGAGTCAGTTTATCCTTTCTTTCAGTATGGAAGCTCCTCCACGTCTATAACGACGGTCTCAAAGGCACAGCTACCTTACTGCTCAAATTTACACGAAATCAATATCTTAGTAGGCTACTGGTGGATACCATCTCAACACACTCAAGCCAAAAGTACTTAAGATAATTTCGTTGTTCTTTTAAATCTGTACAGGCTCCAAAGGCGGAGACCGCCCCCAAACCCAATAAGAAGGGCAAAACCAGAAAGAGGGCTTCACCCAAACTCTCGGGCACTACCAAGCCACCTCCCGACATCCTAGACCCACCCGCCATGGAGAACCTTGATTTCATTGCACACAACGCGCCCGAAGCCCTAGCCTACCGCAACTATCGATGGCAAGGCAACAAGAAAAAGAAGGGTTGAAGTCAAAGACCCACCCAATTCCAATCCAATTTTTTTACCTTTCTTTGACATTTAGTTAATTTACCTGATTTTGCAGCAAATGAAATTCTTGTTGGTTTCATCAAAGCAAATTTTATTTGACATTGACGGCTGAGAGCGATAGACACAAAAGGGGCTAGGTGTGTTGTTTGGTGTTGAGAAAAGGTTCATCCACCTTGAAGCCAAAGTGAGCAGCAATTCGCTCCTGGCTAACCCCATGCTCTCGCATATAGCCAATCTTCTCGGCCAGTGTCCCGCCTACTTCGAAGAAGCCATCGACGAATCGCCGCTGGGTGAGTACCTCTCGATCCTTCACTTGAATCCGCTTCCAGGTAAGCACCTTAATGCGTTTCCAGTACTCCTCTACTTTGTCTTCAGGTCCCTCGATCACCACTGTTCCTGGTTTTCCAGGAAGGCAGCAACCAGTAAGATTAGATTCACGGGCCCAGTCCACGATCACCTTGCGTTTCTTGGGATTTCGGATGTGATGGGAGAAGATCCAGTAGCACACTTCGGCCTCCTGGGACGCTCTTTTAGACAAAGTTTTCGGTGAGATCGCAGAATCACGATCCACGGGAGTAGCAGATTTCAGTTGTGGTTGCGAGAATGGTGGTGATTTGGCTACTTTAAAGGCATCACGGCCCAGGTAGGCGTCCCAGTGTTCCTCATTTAGAGCGGAGCGGAGCCAGTCCACGACAGAGCATATAACGGGTTCTGCAGTATTGGAGACCTCATCAAGCCACTCCTGAAAAGCAGCATTGAGAGCCTTCTCGTTCACCACAGATTCGGACTGCTTGACACGAAGAACGATAGAGGGGCGGAGTTGGGGGTAGCCTATGGGCAGGCAGATTGATAGGTCTACAATGACGGATAACTCGAAAGGGAGAAAACAGGCAGGGTTTAGCGGTTGAGTCCACCTTGATGAGTTAGCTATCACATAGGTAACTTTCCGGTTTTCTTATCTGAAACCGGAGCCAAAAATATGTGGTATGTTCTTTGTCAGTTTATGCCAAACTGGTTGCACCAGGTTGTATCCCAAAAAGACCGTCCGCGTTCAAAACAATAAAGTAGAATCAGAGTCCTCATGGTTTGGAATAAACGCCCTTTTCGCTTAATAAGCAGCAATCAGATTAGTTAAGAAAAAGGAATGGAAATCTTACATTACAAACAATAAGACATGGATTATGATGGCTGATTTTCCACCGAAATTTCGAAACTAAGCGTGTTACGTGTGAAGTGGCTCACAGGAGGACAGGTTACCGAGTCCGATAAAGGAAGATCAACTCGTCTTAGGCAACCAGGTGAAGCATTTGATAGAGCAGTATGAGTTTAAATTATCGATAACGTGCATTTCATCACCTCAACAGGAAAGTGTTGGTGCAATTCGATTGAAACATGTTGCATGCATCCAGCATATTTTCCGAATTTCAAGTTTCCCCTGAAGGAAAATTAAGATAGGAGGAAAATTGACACCTAATGTTACAACTCGGAAAAAATTGGCCTTTCCTTACTTAAGTACAGATTTTTGGGTTGAAATAAAACATTTTTGAAGGGAAAAATCAGGGGCAGCTAGAAGCTAAAAAATATAGACGAAACCTTCCCAAAGATTTAGAGCAGATTATTTCATATTCGAATTCTTCCCCTTCTAAGACTACAATTGTGCTTTAATGGGATCTTGTTCACCTATAAGCAATAATTGTTCCATTTAAAGTTCCTAAAAAAATTCCTCAAATACGTAAGCCTTAAAAAACAGACATTCAAGGGGTAGTAATCAACGCGTGGAGAAATAACATCAAGGTGAGACAGTTTGCCTTCGCATCCAGGAGAGCGAATTCACCCATGGGTAAGTTTAGCGCTGCAAGGTCTTGCACCATCATGTAAGATTAAGAACAGCACTTCCCTCCCATAAAATGATTCACTAGTGATGGCTGTTTCACACCCAAGTGCTTGCATCCGCCTTCACGCCCGCATTGGAGTATAAATTGCTATACGGAAAAGGAAATGCTTAAATTTGGAATGAAAGGCTCATGGTAGCCATATATGTGCAACCAAAAAAAGAAATACATTCAACCTAACGATATGCACTTGAATGACTAACGACGCAATTTGGCCATTTCAACGGGGTTTTCTATGAAAGGACAAAAGTTCTCACAACTTATCAAGCTAAAAAATACCATTCACGAAAAAAAATAGAAATATAGCCATAATAGACCCCTAGGCTAGTAGCGAAGACACTAGACGCTAATGACGTCGTTTAAACATAGTGTGCTCAGATAGTACTTAAGCGAAAGATGCCCGATAGACTAGGTCTAAACATTACTTCTCAATGTAACTTTATACATAATACCTGAATTTTGGAAATTAGCACTATCGAAACGGCAGAATTGAATGAAAAACAGTGGCATTACCTTATTGAATAATACTTACCTTAGTTATGTTTGCTACAAAATCATTCCCTATGCCCTTGACATGAAATCCGCCACCTATGCCTTCAGTTTCCCACCCTTCTTATGCAAATAAGTGCATGCAATTAAAGTTTTAAGTGATTATTTGGTTAAGTGTAACACTAAAATTCAATAAAGCTTAGTGCATATTTTCACAAGAACCTTTTTTCGTATTCATTAGATCCACTTTTATTTAGATAGAAATATAGAATGAATTGCATTGACACTTGTCCACATAAAATGACGATGGATGGATTTACAAAAAAGAATCCAAAATTATCCCGGTCTACGACACAGTTTTCAGTAAAATTTCAACGTGGTCAACAGATAAGGGTAATAAAACCCCATGGTTCTTCAAAGGAATATCGGAGGCTTCAGAAAAATAGCAGAGAATCATTAGCAGTGAAGCAAATTAAATGTTTTTCAACAAGACTGCAGTGAAAATGACATGGTATGAAAATATGACATTACGCAATTGTGAAACCATATTTTGGCTTATGCGGCTGTTGACCGTATTTGCGACATTGCCCTCCATACATAGGCAACGATAAAAACCAATACAGAGTTGTTCTACTGTAGCATGAAACGCGTCTGGACAATGGCGACACAGGCAGAATTAAAGAAACCCAAACCTAGAGAGATGGATAGTGATAGGAAGCAATTTTCTTCACAATCCAACGCAAACACTTATTGATAGCGGGATAAGCAGCTTGATAACTGAAACCCGCGAAATTGAAATTGTGATTGATAAGCAATGAGAGGAAATTTTTAGACAAACTTATTAGGTGTCCATGTTTAAGGGCGCGTAGAGGGAGATGCATGATGGGAAAGTGAACATGACTGAACTGCGCCCTGTTCGTGTTACGACGAAGATAAGTTGAAACAGAGCATACAAGTTATAATTTCACACTCAACCAACACTGCAAGAAAACTTTCCGTTGGCAAAATGTTAGCAGCGATTTCTTACTGTTATATAATGAAAAGTACTTTCCCATAACTCATAAAATAGGAAACCAAAAAGTGATATGAAGCAACTAACCTCAGAAAAGGCGATCTTGAGTGTCAAATCAATGTCTTTATCCTCGATCGGTAGATTCTGAGCGGCAAGAAGATCGAGCTCTTCGATTAACGAGGGATCGCTAAAAACCAACTCATCAGATGTAAACACGGAGCGGATGAGGTCAATTTCTGCTTTCTTTTCATGTACAGACGACATTGATGCCAAAATTTGAATGCTGAATCTGGAATTAACAGAAATATTTCAATTGGCAATGTTGGAGTTAATACAAAAAGAAGACGCTTCCTGCCATTATTTATTCATAAGAAAATATGTATAGTTTCACAGAATATCAGACAAGTACACAACGCGTGAAAAAGTACTTGTTAAGGCAAAAAATTAGCGAATTCACATGAGGCCGTTGTCATCTACAGATTACGCGTGGGCTTTTTTCATCCTCAGTATTTTGAATAAAAGCATCCTTAGAAGAGGTAAAATAATGAAGAAAAAAACAACTTACCGGGTCGTATACCACACGAATTATGAGGGAACAGCTGGGACACCGTGCGATATCTTCACCCATCTCTAATTCGGCCTTGGATATTTCAAATCGATCACCACATGGACAGGGATAGTAATAGATCTGTTCTTCTTCATCATATTCCATGTCTTCAATTTCGATTTCGTCGTAAAGAATCGACATTGCTACTGTAATCTCAAGAGAAATGAAGCGAAAACAGTTTTGTCGTGAAAAATAATTGCATTGGCATGTAATTTTTAATTATAACAAGTATGTCTGGCGGTTCAGCGGTGAATAAGACAATGATAAGACAAAAAAAACACATTATAAAACAATTCATTAAGTTTGATGCCGCAGACGTGACGAGAGATTATAGCTACGGGAAAAAAAATAAAATCTTCAAAATATAAGTGAGAAAGAATCAAGCTGCAAATTAAAAAACATTTAATAGACCGGATGAAACAAGCCCTCACAACCACAACCAAAAGTGCCAAAGAGTGTGAATCGAACTCAAGTCGGGTGGGCTAACTGGGCGCATTACAATTTGGTATGTCATTGTGTTTAAAATTGGCATCACATTGCAAAGCTAAACTCCAATTCTAAATCCTTCAAGGAATATGGAAAAAATTCTGTAATATTTGCATTGTTTTAAGGTATTTTTAGGGATGAAGCAAGGTGACAATTCGAATCTGGTGAGAGTCGTCTTCTCCCAAGCCTGAGTGCAATTGCGATTCCTCCCCTCCCCAAACTTTGTATTTCCTCTCCCAATCCCTTTCCCCCTAATAAATATGTCGGAATTAAATTAACCGGGTTATCCTAAGAGCACTAGGAACAGGGAAGCGGAGACCTGTGAGTCTAGCCCTACACTTGGTACTTTTTAAGCATGATTTTTTGAAGAAAAGCGTATATGCACACGTAGTTGGCAATAATTATGTAGCGTTTCGAGACTCTCTGAAGACGAAAGAAGACACAATACTCGTGCAGACCATATATATTTAGCACGGAGAAGGTGTCTGGGCTACTGGCATGGGCCAAAAGGCCAGCCTACCCAGCGAGATACAAGGGGGCTAATTCAAAGTACAAAAAAGTGGCGCCTCACCACAATTACATTATCATTTTCAAATAATGCTTTTGTAAGCATAACTTTTCTTCGCCGATTACATATTTAGGACTACTGCATGCACTACAGAGTTTTGGGAACGCCATGGAGACGGAGGAAGGCATAATACTCGAACAGAATACATATATTCGACATGCAGAAGGTATTAGTGTTACTAGCATGGCCCGAAGGCTAGTCCGTCCTTCAAGGCCCAATGGCCAAGTCGAAAGTCATTCTCTACTAAAATTCACCATTAAGCTAATAGCTAGCGTATTTTGAACGTCGTCACCGGCAGTCCCTTTGACCAATCTCCAGTGTCAGCCATCACAACGAAGTCGGTGCTGTAAGGAAACGCCCACGAGCCGGCCATACCAGTCATCCAATTTCTATGCAACTGAAGAGGTAATTGACTGCAACATCACTGATTCCTTTTTTCAACTTTTACTAAAGCCAGAGTTTCATCTGATTTAGGAAATGGATTTTGGAACAGGAAATTGTGCTGGCAATCATAAGTGCCCATAGATAGACGTAGGAACACTAACCTAAGAGCAGATATGTGTAAGAAAGGACGAGATTTGACACAGATCCGTGGGAAAAGGGTTTCTTCTTTGTTCCTTCTTGCCACCTTGTTCCGCCTCGGAGCTACCCAGTCATATCTATCCGGGATCTATCCAGCTAGTGGGAAAATGAAGGCGGTACTGTGAGTTCACTTTTTCAAGTATGGTGGGGAAAGTCTGTGACAAAACTCTCCCAGATGTTGCATGGCCAATGTCGCTTCAGTTGTTAATAGCTTTCCTGCATAACACGGGACTAAGGTAGGTGCCGAAGGTAGACGCCAATTTGAGCCCTTCTATTTGCGGTGTCCACCAAATCACCCATTCGTAGCACATGCACTTCTTCCGCCCCGCTAAGGTGTATCATCCAGCAGTAGAAATCAGGATAGATTTCCGCTGCCATCAATGCAACGTCCCGACACCTTCTAAAGACGAAATTAGCCATAATACTCAAGCCGAATATAAGCATTCGGCATACAGAAGGCAATTGCGCTACTTGCATGGCCCAAAGACCAACGAGCCTGGCGAGGTACAGTGGCTAAGACGAAGCGGAACTTTACCAAAACCGACCGTTAAACTAACAACCAACGCATGGCAAAATCACTGCTTGGACCCTATTCTTATTTCTAGTATCACGTGTAGGAGTCCATGTGGTCTGTTCTTTACCTTGGCCACCACAGAGGAACTGGTAGTCAAAAACGGTGTCTGCCTCATTTTCACGGGAAGAAAAATACTTGTCTTGTCAATACAGATAAATTCAAAAGGTCGGCTTCATTCTCACCTGCAGTGGACAAGACACCCTCAATGAATGCGTTCCAGTACTAAATTGGAAGTGTTCTGACGTATCGTGACTTCAAACTCCATTTTCCGCTTTTATGAAAGTGCGATTATGCCTACAGACTAAATTGTATGGGTCTTAGACATACCCCTCATTGTAAGTTTGCTCAAATAAAGCCACTCTCAATAGATACTTGACTCATGAGGTAATACATTTTACATTTACTCGAAACACCAAAGTTTTTCGGTTTAACCTTGTTTCCCGGCTTCATTTATTTGGAGCTTCCATGATTCACTAGAGTCGTAACAACAAATATTACTTTAAAGGAAATTAATGATATAAAAGCAACATCACACCACATCAATCGGTATAGTTTTTTAAGCCTAATCGTGTAAGCATACTAGGCGAAGCTATTAAATAATATTTTGGACCAGTGTACTTGTAGAACACTTTTACTAATACTGCATGAAAACAATCGAGCATATTAATATAAAAATTGTTGGCTTGAACCAAAGTCATTGTTTAAGGCGTAAGTCTACATAACATAAGCTGTTAAGGTAAATTATTTTCTTTTCCGCTTGAAAGATTTGAGGAATTTCGGCTGAAAATTTTGCACTGCAGAAATCGCTCGATAATTTTAGTACTGCATCGTGTTAACAACCATAAAACAAATTTAACTACTTTTCAGAAAATCGCTTTTAAATATAGAACGTTTCTCTTTGCCTGCAAAAATTCATTGTCGTACAATAGGACTTGAAGTCCTTATCACTTGGATTTATATAAAATAGCACCCCTACATTACCTAAAAACGTACCTTCAAGCTTGCAAAATTGCTATAAACCGCTATGACATATTTCCCAAAAAATTAAAAATATCACTTATTTGGCTTCTTAGGTCATAGCAGTTATCAATCACAGTGGATGTTGTCGCGCGCAGTCTGGTGTATGTCGTCATTTCTCCACTCCAGTCGGCGGGTGGTTCTCTTCCGCGCGGGGTTGTCTTTCATCTGTAAGTGGTCTTCCCATCCCATTCCCACGACACACTAAGAGCGTGGTGCAGTCGCGGTGTTTTTTTACGTTCATTATTTTATAATGTACAGATATGACGGGGTTGTGTTGCATAGTGCCGAACATTTACCAGAATGCGCTCATGATTTAGATTTATTTGAAAGTAGTAATTTACAGCAGAAGTAAAGTGCAGCTGGCAGCATAAGGTTTCGGAGCATATTTGTAGACTTATTGGCATTTTCAGCGTGTATATTTAAACGTAATCACAGAGGTGTTGTTATGGCGTAATGCAGGAAAATGATACATTTATTAGTGCATCGGCAGTATTTATCCGTTAGTTTTGAGCATGTATCTTTTTAAACAAATGTGTTGCTTCACGCTAGGCATACATTTAGGACTCACTCGAAATAATTCGTACATATTTATTTTGATGATGAAATACGCTTCCTGTAATTGAATTTTTAAAACCAAATAGTTGATTACCCAGCTTTAAACAATTTCACAGCTTTACATAAACCCGTGATTTGCTGTAAAACCTTATCAATTTCTATTACAAAGTGATTATGCTCACCAATCGTAAGTCTTTCAACCTGTCCTATCACTTTTTGAGAGTTGCCGACCATACATCTTATTTGCAAATCCCCTTTATCTCTAAAGATATTACATCCCAATCGCGTTTGCGCGTTGGTAATGTTAAATATGTGTATCTGTTGGTTTTTGCCAATTCGTAGTTCTGGTTTTAATATACATTATATGAAACCTGAAATGATGGGTCATTTGTTTACTGCAAGCTGATTCTATTCTGGCCTAGGTACGGGCTTTCTCATTTATTCCCGTTCCCAGTTGCATGTTAGTCCTCAGGTCATTTTAATTGGTTAAGCAAGTACATAATTGTCATTCTTCTAACACGCATTATCTGATGCACCTTTAGCTCGATCCAGGATGGCATCTCGTTTGCTCACTGGCTTTTTCAATCCCAAGGAGTTTGGCATCCGGGACGACTTTCGGTTGACCAAATTCTCTTTACTGAAGGGATGAGGTTGCAAGTTGCCGCAAGCCGAGCTCACCCCTCTGCTTGCGAAACTGTCGGGATGCTCCAATTCCTCGACACCCCCAACCTCTCCCACCTCCCTCCTCTGTGAGTTCCCTCCTTTGCACCCATTGAGCCGTTTCGCGAAGTTTGTGCCCTGTAATCTGGTGGCTATTGGTCTAATAAGTATTATTCAGCCTCCTTAAGTACTACTGGATATTGGATTTAATACCTGCAGAATTTTATTAGAGCGGTTTCTGTGACTATTATGGGGTTCTTGGTTAAAGCAATGCATAATCCCAGTCGGTTCATTGAGTTGGGCGTGAGGAACTTGCGAAATATCTATTAACTGTGATTAGCCTCAGATGATGTCTTTCCCAAATCGTCACCAATTTTGAGGATACTTTTGTGCATATGAATGTGAGATCTCTCTTGCAGCAATGTTAAAAACCCAATGACTCAAAGGCCCTTTTTTAGGCAAATTCAATTTTGAAAGTCAGTAAAAGTTCTAAAGTATCCTTTCATCCTGCTGAGAACCAGTTTTTGAGCTCATACTTTGACAAATTCCAACTTTTCATCGAGTCCCCATGTCTCTGGTGTCATCTCTGTTAAGATCACTGCCATTCCTAGCCTGAATTGAACTGTTCTGAAGTCATGTGGGTGTATTTTTTAATAATTGATCCATTCTTTGTAGATGAGATAAATTAAAAGAAAGGAATTATATTGAGTGTGGGTACTGTTAGGTAAATTACAGGTGCCTACAGTAGCTCGTAATTATAAGGGAAACGCATTTACATGATTACTTGAAGCCGAAATATTGTTCCTGGAGAAAAAGGCGATAGACATCCGGAATTGCTATGGGGTAGTTTTTCAAGATTTTGAGGCTCCTGGTTTATTTATTATGCGTTTTCAAAATGTTCTTGAAAGCATTTTCTGAGATATTAAGTCACTTTCCAAGGCTCCTATTTAAAATGAGTTTAAGGTATGGTCCTAAATAGCATAGATAACGTCTCCCCAGCTGCTCTTTTACATTTGTTGCGTTAATTTTACAGACGAATATAAACCGGTTTGGTAAACTAGATGGTTATAAGCTCACGCAACATCGTTGTAAGCATCCACCACGCCAGTTCTGTTTGGTTTTGTGGATCGCTCTTCTTATGCTTCATTCATTGCAATAAAATTGATGGTAAATCCTTATGCACATTCCTTGCACACTAATGTCTCTTCAGTAGTAAGAAAATTGGTCAGTGTAGTAACCATCTTCGCCGATGTTGACCCACATTCACTGTTCGATTGGTTGTCATAAAGCAGGTAATAACTATTTGCGCTAATCTGTGTTCAGAGGAGAAGCATTGGCATTAATTATTAAATTCAGAATAATTGTGCCTTGTTAAACTGAGACGACTTTTAGGGACTCGACAATCCAAAGGTTACTTGATTGCAGCTGCTGGAACTTCTCTGGGAGCGTCATAAGATGTACGATTTTGGGCAAAACTGTATTGTAAATGTACGGGACATTTGACGAGCTGTTGCCAGAAATGACATGGATGAAATGCCATGAAACCAGGATGCACATCGCATTCACAGAGATTAAAGGACTCGCGTAGTTAACGCGCTCCTCGCCGGCATTGCATACATGTGACGCCCCGGTTTTCCCACCTGAATTCACGCATCACTCGTGTGTAATGCATTTAATCAAAATTAATGAATGAACTTGAAAAAGAGAGACAGAATATCTCCTCTTGGTGTGACACTGAAGTAGCAAAACATCCGAATTGAAATGGTTAGAGTTACTCAGATTCGGATAGCGAACGCGTCAAATATACATTCACAAAAATATTGTTCTGTTACAGTATCAAACAGCTTCCATAGGGGAGTTTAAAAATAAGTCTATGATGAAGGATTCAGTGAGTTTTCTTAGCATCTCTATATTTTTCGGTGTTCTACAACTTTTAGACTTCTTTTTGCTCCTTTTGCAGCTACCGAGCTTGATTGCTGTGTCATCCCCGTTCGTAATAACCTCAAACTCATTCAGACAACGGATTTCTTCTATGCCAACGTCGATGATCCCTACACAATGGTGCGTTTTGCCTCATTAAAGCCCCAATATTGTATGAAGCGTGGTGATAGTACCACAAGATTTTGTGTGTTTCACTGTCATATGGCTCTTGCTGACCATGTTTATCAAAACGGCCTTGGAGCATATTTCTTTAAAACGTTTTTGGCAAATGTTTTCTTCATGCTTCTGATTTCACTGAAAAAATCAGCCTCACAAAACGGAAGAAAAGAGGACTTTTTTGCTTCGTAGGGTTTTCTCATATGTGTTCACCCTCGCCTTTCAATTTTTGCATTTTTGTCTACCGTTGCCTTTTATTCCACTTTGTACATTAAGTCTGCTTCCGTCCCCTACTGATCTCATCGTTCTAGATGCGGCTTGTCATTCTCGTCTGATTTATCGTGACAGCGAGTGTCGAACTGATTGTGCTATCGCAAAGCTTTTTGTCCCTTTCTAAGATTTCTTTATTGACTTTTAAAGTCCATGACGGCTGAAAACTATTGCTTGAATAACTGTTTACCAGTGCTTGCACTTGAGCTGAATATTCCCTTAATGCTTTGGGAAGCTCTGGTTTCCGGATTTTTGCCATAGCTCTAAATTATAGGCGGTGGTTTTATTTTAATTAATTATGCTTATTCTTGAAATACACGAGGTTTCCTCTTCAGTTTAGCTTTTGAGCTAGGCTCTTGCCTGTGATTTGACTTTTACCAAGCTACCGTGTTATCGCTGTCTTCAGTTTTCACGCCACCAAAAAAGTTATGACCTTTTGTACTTTACGAGGAATTGTAAAATGCATGACCTTATTTATAAGCACAGACTATAAGGCACAAATAAAAATCCTTACTTATTGGCACGATATCCTTATTTACTGTACTTTCTACTCTATTATTTTCAATCCATCCTTATGTCACAAAATACCGAGCTTCTTTGGTTTATGGGTCGAATGAGCCTGTTTCCAAATGTGTGGAAGCTTTTTACCATATTTGTTGTGTTATATTCGGAATCTCCCAAAATGCCTGGTAATATCAAGAAGACTGTTAATAAAGATGAAGGATCATGTATTGCTGTTGGCCAAAACAATTGGGGATTGATATTTGATAAAATGCAGGTATAGCTGTTCAGCTATTGAAGGCCAGACGACAATTACGGCTGAGAGCCGTCTACTTGACTCAGCTCGAATGGATGCAAAAACAACTTTTCCGTAAACATCCAAATCTAGTCCATTTCAAAGATGAAAGTCCTGTTTATTCAAAGCGACGCAAAGTTTCATACCATATTCCGCAAAACTTACCCTTAAGAAGTCTCGCACTTTGGTTATGACAAGAAGGCGAAACCTACTGTCTCATTCCTATCCTTATCTTCCTCTTACCCTGCATTCCCCCTAATAGGACTTCCACAATTTTCAATTGGTTGTAACCTTTTCTGGGCATTAGACAACAAATAGAACAATCATCGCAAATTTTTCAGCTTTTGGCAATTCCCATGTGGTGTTATCTTTGATAATTTTATGTAAATACATTCGTGGTACTTCTCGAATACTTGATAGCCTTTTTAGAACCCCCCTCCATCGTGGTGTCTCATCTCGACTTCCCTTTTCCTGTCTCTTCCACGCTGTTTACAAGGGCAAATATGAGCCCAGATCTTCAGCGGTTTTCAGTACCCAAAGTAAAAATAGACGCCACAGATTTATGGCGTTTCTAGTTCATTGCAAGCAAAAAAGGGATAATGACACTTATTTTTCGCAATGAAAGGGCGACGATTCCTAACAGTGGCCATCGTTGGCAATTATTTCATTCGCCCCCATCGCGGAAACTCATGATAGGAAAGTAGTAAAAGCCTTCCTTTCATCACTACTTCACCGTTTTTTGCAAAAATGTGACGGTGTAGGTAGTGATGTTTTTAAAAGGAATTGCATTTACATGGGCAATGATTATGGCAATGCTTGAATGTCCCATTTCTC